GTACGCAAATGGATTGGTCATAGATAGATTATCGCCATATTTATGTCACCTGGTCATTGTAAAATTTACAATTACTTATTTGGGTTGTCAATTTATAACATTTTTTAGCTCTGAACGTCTTTCTCTTTTCCTTCTATCTTTCTTTCTTTCTTTTTCTTTCTGTTTTTTTTTTTTTTTTTTTGGTTTTTAGCGTACGATTGCTTATTTAGGTCTTATTTGGATCCTGGCGTTTCCCTTTTTTTCAATCTACCCATTTACCTCTCTTTCCTTTTCCTTTCTTTTGTCTTCCTGTCTTTCTATCTATCTATCTATCTATCTATCTATCTATCTATCTATCTATCTACGCTTGTTCATTATCTATCTATCTATCTATCTATCTATCTATCTATCTATCTATCTATCTATCTATCTATCTATCTCAGGCTGTTCATTATCTATCTATCTATCTATCTATCTATCTATCTATCTATCTATATATATATATATATATATATATATAGAGAGAGAGAGAGAGAGAGAGATATCTATCTATCTATCTATCTATCTATCTCAGGCTGTTCATTATCTATCTATCTATCTATATATATATATATATATATATATATATATATATATATATATATATATATAGAGAGAGAGAGAGAGAGAGAGAGATAGATCTATCTATCTATCTATCTATCTATCTATCTATCTATCTATCTATCTATCTCCGCTTGTTCATTATCTATCTATCTATCTATCTATCTATCTATCTATCTATCTATCTCAGGCTGTTCATTATTATCTATCTATCTATCTATCTATCTATATATATATATATATATATAGATAGATAGATAGATAGATAGATAGAGAGAGAGAGAGAGAGAGAGAGAGAGAGAGATCTATCTATCTATCAGTAGACGGGCAGTAATATACGAACTTGCTTATATTTTTCTTTTATGTGCCGTGTCCCTTTAGTGGATGAAAAATTATGGATCTCCCCAATTTCCTATACTGTGTAGCTCATAGTAATTTTTTTGTCTCTTCAACATCCGTCCTTGTTGTGTTTGCCATTTACACAAATTCACAAGATAAAATATTCGCTGTTTCTCACTATCCATCTTGCCGACAGTGACGTATTCTCCAAGCGAGTGACGTATTCTCCAAGCCTTCTTTCCTCATTATGAATAAGCATATTTTTATTTGTCTTTTTAAAAAAAAATTTTCTGATCCTAACGTCTTTAATTACGCACCCTTGATACCAGTATACTGCCGGATCAAGGAGAATGCCGAATGACTGATCATTACACATATATACCTGGTGTAATAGAAAATTGTCCAAATCGTGTAACGGCAAAATTGTCAAAGTGTTTTGATTTAGCTCTGAACCGTTGTATCTCAGAAATGATTAAAGATATCATACTGGAATTCTCCGAGGTTTTTATAACACTATTGACTCTACTTTGAGAAAATAAGAATATATAATTACTCTCTCAAAAGAAGAATCGTAATGAAGTCGATCATAAACGAAAATGACATGTTCATCATTAATTAATCATAGCTAAGTAACAGTAGCTGATGAAGGATTAATTGCTGTTGTTCCCAAGTTCCCACTGACCCGGGGTGCTATCACCAGTCAGAGTCCTAGCTATGGCAAATAGTTAACTCAAAACACTATTAAAGTACAAAAATAGGTTTTAATACCAGCAATACCTTTTTGGTGAAATTATTACATTTTTGAAGATAAAATTATTCCCTAAAAGATAATATTGCCAGCAGTACATTTCTTTTGTAAATAAACATATTACCAGCAATTCATTTTTGAAAAAAAAAAAAAATTATTAGCAACACATTTTTGGGAAAAAATATTGTCAAGTTTAAATAACCCATTAAGGTTGATAAGTCGTAAAGCAAACCAAACCAAATTAAACTTCTCATTTCCCTTTACTTTGTTCTGTACGACTTCCTGTTGTTTAGTTCATATATCTGCTATCAAAACTGTGTTATCTCAATATATATTATGTCGCTATTATGAAAAAACTCACAGAATGTTTTATTTTGTTTTCTTTCCGCTCTCAGAAAGGTTAGATATTTGCTTTAATCAAATCGGTATTTACCACAGTTTCTGTTTGTTTGCGTTTTTTCTCAGTATAGCAATCTCCTTCTTCTTTATGTGCTGTGTCGCCTCAGAACGTAGACGTGCATGGCTCTCCACAATTTCCTGCTCTTTGTAGTTCTCAGTATATTTTGTCTCTTCGCGATTTCTCCTAAACTCTGTTCAGCCATCCATTTACTCAAGATGATAAAGTAATTTACGCACTGCGTTCCTCTGTCGCTGTTTCCCTCAATCTGTCCTGTGAGTATCAGATTTTCCAAGCCGCTATTCCTCATTTCGTACCCCAGAAATGTCACATCTATCTTCCTGATGTTAAGTATAAGTTTCCTTTTTGTTTCCATTTTCTATAAAACCTCGTCGTTACTCACAGGTTCGGTCCATGGTATCCTCAGCATCCTTCTGTAGAAATTTCAACTGTCTCTTCCTGATGTTAAGTATAAGTTTCCTTTTTGTTTCCATTTTCTCTAAAACCTCGTCATTGCTCACATATTCGGTCCACGGTATCCTCAGCATCCTTCTGTAGAAGTTTCAACTGTCTCTTCCTGATGTTAAGTATAAGTTTCCTTTTTGTTTCCATTTTCTTTAAAACTTCGTCGTTGCTCACATGTTCGGACCATGGTATCCTCAGCATCCTTCTGTAGAAATTTCAACTGTCTCTTCCTGATGTTAAGTATAAGCTTCCTTTTTGTTTCCATTTTCTCTAAAACCTCGTCATTGCTCACATATTCGGTCCACGGTATCCTCAGCATCCTTCTGTAGAAGTTTCAACTGTCTCTTCCTGATGTTAAGTATAAGTTTCCTTTTTGTTTCCATTTTCTTTAAAACTTCGTCGTTGCTCACATGTTCGGACCATGGTATCCTCAGCATCCTTCTGTAGAAATTTCAACTGTCTCTTCCTGATGTTAAGTATAAGTTTCCTTTTTGTTTCCATTTTCTCTAAAACCTCGTCATTGCTCACATATTCGGTCCACGGTATCCTCAGCATCCTTCTGTAGAAGTTTCAACTGTCTCTTCCTGATGTTAAGTATAAGTTTCCTTTTTGTTTCCATTTTCTTTAAAACTTCGTCGTTGCTCACATGTTCGGACCATGGTATCCTCAGCATCCTTCTGTAGAAGTTTCAACTGTCTCTTCCTGATGTTAAGTATAAGCTTCCTTTTTGTCTCCATTTTCTCTAAAACCTCGTCATTGCTCACATATTCGGTCCACGGTATCCTCAGCATCCTTCTGTAGAAGTTTCAACTGTCTCTTCCTGATGTTAAGTATAAGTTTCCTTTTTGTTTCCATTTTCTTTAAAACTTCGTCGTTGCTCACATGTTCGGACCATGGTATCCTCAGCATCCTTCTGTAGAAATTTCAACTGTCTCTTCCTGATGTTAAGTATAAGTTTCCTTTTTGTTTCCATTTTCTCTAAAACCTCGTCATTGCTCACATATTCGGTCCACGGTATCCTCAGCATCCTTCTGTAGAAGTTTCAACTGTCTCTTCCTGATGTTAATATAAGTTTCCTTTTGTTTCCATTTTCTTTAAAACTTCGTCGTTGCTCACATGTTCGGACCATGGTATCCTCAGCATCCTTCTGTAGAAATTTCAACTGTCTCTTCCTGATGTTAAGTATAAGCTTCCTTTTTGTTTCCATTTTCTCTAAAACCTCGTCATTGCTCACATATTCGGTCCACGGTATCCTCAGCATCCTTCTGTAGAAGTTTCAACTGTCTCTTCCTGATGTTAAGTATAAGTTTCCTTTTTTTGTTTCCATTTTCTTTAAAACTTCGTCGTTGCTCATGTTCGGACCATGGTATCCTCAGCATCCTTCTGTAGAAATTTCAACTGTCTCTTCCTGATGTTAAGTATAAGCTTCCTTTTTGTTTCCATTTTCTCTAAAACCTCGTCATTGCTCACATGTTCGGACCATGGTATCCTCAGCATCCTTCTGTAGAAGTTTCAACTGTCTCTTCCTGATGTTAAGTATAAGTTTTCTTTTTGCTTCAATTTTTTCCAAATCCTCTTCCTTGCTTACATGTTCGCTCCATTGTATCTTCAGCATCATTCAGTATATTATTCAAAGCCATATAAGACGACTGATATCACGTAACAGTTCAATACTTCTTTGTTTCTAACGATGTTTTTCTGTTTCTTAATGCTCTGCTTAGCTTTTGGAAGGCATCTTTGGCTATCCGAATGCATCTTCGCATTTCAATGTCGCACGTTCCCTCTTCTTTTAGAACACTTCTCAGATGTTTAAATTTTTTTACTTGTTTATTTTCGCCATCTCCGATTTGTAATTTGCATTTTGGGCTCATCGTTGTACTAATGACGATGCATTCTTTCTCCTTACACATTATGTTTAGTCCTTTCTTCGCGCTTTCCATTTGCTCCCTTTTGTAGGAGTTTTTTGCAGTTTTCTTTCCGTGTTTGCTATCAACACAGTGTCATCTGCATCTGTCTATATTTCTGAGATGAGGTATTATGTACATTATTTACATTATTCGGACTATTGTCCACATTATTGTCTCCATATTTATTACAAAGGTTCGGCCGTTGTGCGCTCCGGTCTCCTTCAGGTGGATGGAATGTCGAACTGAACACTTTATTTCGCTCACTGGGCTAGACTGTTCTAGTTCTACGTGTCATGTTTAATGGATGTTAATTATCAGTTATCTCCTGTTAATTTCCCTCTGAAAGTTCTCCACTGCCTTAACCGGGTATTGAACTCACACTCTTTGGGTCCTGTCACTTTATCCACTGTACCATATGTCCTTCAGCGTACAACGGCCGAAACGTTGTAATAAATATGGCGACAAAGATGAGGACAATAGTCGGAATAATGTAAATAATGTACAGTGTCATCTGCATTTTAAAGTTGTTGAAATGCGTCGTAGATTTAATACTCAAGGAGACAAATCATAATTGCAGAAAGGCTGGTCGCGCAATAACAATAATGGCGGATTCTTTACTTAACTGCTTGACTCGGTACAGGAAGCAACTTGACAAATGATTTGAAAGCAAGGAAATGAAACTGTGAAGAAAGAAAGTAGGGTGTCTGGAAAGAAGAAGGAAAGAAAGGGAGAAAAGGAAGAATATGAAGGGAAAGAATGAATAAAGAGAAGACTGAAAATGGGAAGAGAGAGAAAAATGAATGAATTGAAAGGTTTAAGGAAAGTACAGAACGATAAGGAAAGAAAGAGAGAGAGAGAGAGAAAGAAAGAGAGGGAGAAAGAAAGAATGAATGAATGAAAGAAAGAAAGAAAAAAGAAAGAAAGAAAGAAAGAAGCGAACAAACAAACAAAACAATAAACGAAGAAATAATATCCAAGACAGACAGAAAGAAAGAAAGAAAGAAAGAAAGAAAGAAAGAAAGAAAGAAAGAAAGAATGAAAGAAACAAACAAACAAACAAACAAGCAAACAAACAAACAAACAAACCAATAAACAAAGAAATAAAATCCGAGAAAGAAAGAAAGAAAGAAAGAAAGAAAGAAAGAAAGAAAGAAAGAAAGAAAGAAAGGAGGAAAGAAGGAAAATTAAAAGTGAAATAAAATGACTAGTGGATAAAAAAGAACGAATGGCAAAGAAAAGAACAAACAAAAGTAATTAGAGAGATAGAAAAAAAGAAGCCAAAAAATGAAAAAAATAAAAATAAAAAAGAAACAAAGAAAATGGAAGAAGAAAAAACTAGGAAATAAATGGAAAGAAACAAACACCGAGACAGACGAAGAAAGAAAAAAGAAAGAAAAGAAAAGAATGAAAAAAAAAAAGAATGGAAGAAAGAAAAATGGGAAGAAAGAAAGAATGGAAGAAAAGAAAGAAGTGAACAAACAAACCAATAAACAAAGAAATAAAATCCGAGAAAGAAAGAAAGAAAGAAAGAAAGAAAGAAAGGAGGAAAGAAGGAAAATTAAAAGTGAAATAAAATGACTAGTGGATAAAAAAAAGAACGAATGGCAAAAAAAAAAAACAAACAAAACTAATTAGAGAGATAGAAAAAAAGAAGCCAAAAAATGAAAAAAATAAAAATAAAAAAGAAACAAAGAAAATGGAAGAAGAAAAAACTAGGAAATAAATGGAAAGAAACAAACACCGAGACAGACGAAGAAAGAAAGAAAGAAAGAAAGAAAGAATGAAAAAAAGAAAGAATGGAAGAAAGAAAGAATGGAAGAAAGAAAGAATGGAAGAAAGAAAGAAGTGAACAAACAAACCAATAAACAAAGAAATAAAATCCGAGAAAGAAAGAAAGAAAGAAAGAAAGAAAGAAAGGAGGAAAGAAGGAAAATTAAAAGTGAAATAAAATGACTAGTGGATAAAAAAGAACGAATGGCAAAAAAAAGAACAAACAAAACTAATTAGAGAGATAGAAAAAAAGAAGCCAAAAAATGAAAAAAATAAAAATAAAAAAGAAACAAAGAAAATGGAAGAAGAAAAAAAACTAGGAAATAAATGGAAAGAAACAAACACCGAGACAGACGAAAAAGAAAGAAAGAAAAGAAAGAAAGAAAAAGAATGAAAAAAAAAGAAAAATGGAAGAAAGAAAGAATGGAAGAAAGAAAGAATGGAAGAAAGAAAAAAGTGAACAAACAAACCAATAAACAAAGAAATAAAATCCGAGAAAAGAAAGAAAGAAAAAAGAAAGAAAGAAAGGAGGAAAGAAGGAAAATTAAAAGTGAAATAAAATGACTAGTGGATAAAAAAAAGAACGAATGGCAAAAAAAAACAAACAAAAAAGTAATTAGAGAAGAAAAAGAAGCCAAAAATGAAAAAAAAAAAATAAAAAAAAAAACAAAGAAAATGGAAGAAGAAAAAACTAGGAAATAAATGGAAAAGAAAAAACACCGAACAGACGAAGAAAGAAAGAAAAAAAAAAAAAAAGAATGAAAAAAAAAGAAAGAATGGAAGAAAGAAAGAAGTAATTAAAGAAAGAATGGAAGAAAGAAAGAAGTGAACAAACAAACCAATAAACAAAGAAATAAAATCCGAAATAAAAAAAAAGAAAGAAAGAAAGTTAAAAGTTAAACAAATTGATCAGTGTAGAAAAAAGAACAAATGACAAAGAAAAGAAGCAACAAAACAAATTAGAGAGACAGAAAAAAAGAAGCCAAAAAAAAAAGAAAAAACGAACAAAATAGAAGAAAAAAAAATAAAAGCCTAGAAAGAAATGGAAAGAAACAAACATATAAAGGCCGAGACAAAGAAAGAAAGAAAGAAAGAAAGAAAGAAAGAAAGAAAGAATAATGAATGAATGAATGAATGAATGAATGAATGAAAGGGACAAACAACGTCAAGAAAAAAAACAAGGATAGAGAACAAACAAGCAAACGAACAAAAACTGAGAAAGAAGGAAACAAATAAAATCCGGGAAAGAAAGAAAGAAAGAAAGAAGGAAAAATGAAAGCAAAAAACATTCAAAAAGTGTGAGAGATATGAAGAAAGGAAGAAATAAATTACAGAGAAAGGGAGAGAGAAATAAGCAAATGATAAAAAAAAAAGAAACGAGACAGGAACAGACAAAATAAAGAAAAACCGAAAGAAATACTAAGAAAGAAAGAAAAGCAAACACCCTAAAATGAAAGAGTGAGAGAGAGAGAGAGAGAAAGTAAAGTGTGAAGAAAGAAGAAAGTAACACAGTAACAATGAAAAACAAACAAAAGCTGAGAGAGAGAGAGATACAAACAGATAGAAAGACAGACAGACAGATAGATATAAAGGCTGAAAGAAAGAATGTCCGAGAAAAGAAAAGAATGAAACGAATAAATAAAAATAAAAAACTTGAAAAGTGAAGAAATGAAAATAAATTAAAAAAAAATAAAAATAAAAAAATAACCCGAGAATAAAAATATCTTAAAAGCGTATATTTCAAAGACTGCATTAATGAATTCCCTTCTCCCTTTAGGCATTTTAAAATCTTTAAAAGAAAAAAAAAAAAACCTAAAGAACAGATGTCAGAAGAACAAAACATTTTTTTCTTTAGATCTAAAAATGCTGCCGGTCACAAAAGAACTAAACAGTAATTCTGTTCATTTGGAGATTTCGTGTCGATGTGGTTAAACTTTGTGTGGATCGTGGCAAGGGGTACTGACCTTGAATTTCTCTTTCATTACCCTTACCCTTAATATCTTCAGTGACACTCTCCATCCCATCATTGATAATCCTGAAGACCATTTCAGAAGCTAATTTCAGTATTAGCATGTTTCCCTGACGAAGTTTAGCCTAATCCCCTCCCCTTGACCGGCAACGGCCCACTAAAAACGTCATATCCATGGTGAATATTGTCACTCAGTGGGTAGCTTGCGCGTCGGGGGAAATTATAAGAAAAGACTATGTCTGCTGATTGTCTTGTTTGGCCGTGTGCCGTTGGATCTTTTAAAAGCTTATTCTTCTCATTAATTGCGAATAAATCCTCAATTTATTAAAGATAAAAGAATTATAAAAGTGAATTTAAGCTGAGACCTGGCCATTTAGAAGAAATCCTGTGTACACAAGCAGGTACTTTTGTTTTAAAATTAATTTATTTAGAGGCAGCACGGTCACAGAAAAAAAAAAGAATCTATCATCCAATAAAAGCCAAACATTGTACAGGATTTTAGCCATGAAATGGTAATGATGAATTAGTTGTGTCATTCTTACCATATTTGGGAAGGATATCAGAATAACCAAGAACCTATACTGGCAGCAAACAACTTGCATAAGGATAGAAAATGCGTTCAGCAGATAGTAATTTTCTAAACACAGCTTATATGTGGCACAAGGCCAAAAGTATGGGGCACCGAGTGAGGAGCGAACTCGCTCCTCAGTCGTAATTGATCTAGCAAGACAAGTTTTCTAACCATTACACCAAGTCGAGGTGCCCAATATGTTCGGCAGATATACAAAAATAGAAAGGGGTGTTAGACACGGGTGATTTATTCAACCTATACAGCCAGGCAATCCTCACTGGGTGCCCCATACTTTCGGCCTTGTGCCACATCTAAGCTACGCTTGGAAAATAACTATACAGCAAGGCGATTCTGAGAGAACTAGGAGTCCTAGCAGGATTCATTATTAGCGGACACAATTTTACCAACATAAGGTATGCTGATGACACAGTGTTGGTAGCAGACACGGAAAGAAATCTACAAAAATCTCATACATAGTGTCATGGGTCCTTACCTATAACTACAGAATGAACACTTCCTACCACTATGTATACTACGCCTCTCAAGAGAGAGGGACGAATCGAGTCAAGCCGATGGTAGTTCACTCCAAACCAGACTGACAGTCATACTAACAACTTCCATATCTTGTATTGTTATTTCGTGTAATATACCTTCGTTATTTCTACTCTTGGGTTCGTGTTGTTCTTCCTTGGTCCTAACCTGGACCATAACATCTATCTATATCTATCTATCTATCTATCTATCTATCTATCTATCTATCTATCTATCTATCTATCTATCTATTTCGGTCAGTTCATTATTGTCATGGGTCCTTGCCTATAACTACAGAATGAACTCTTCCTAACACTATGTATACTACGCCTCTCAAGAGAGAGGGACGAATCGAGTCGAGCCGATAGTAGTTCACTCCAAACCAGACTGACAGTCATACTAACAACTTCCATATCTTGTATTGTTATTTCGTGTAATATACCTTCGTTATTTCTACTCTTGGGTTCGTGTTGTTCTTCCTTGGTCCTAACCTGGACCATAACACATAGTGAAAGCAAACGAGAAAATAGGAATAAAGTTCAACTGCAAGAAGACAGAAGGTTGTTAGCATGTATGAGCCCAAAGTGCGAATTGCAAATCGGTGATAGAAAAATCAATCAAGTGCAGAAATTTAAATATCTTGAAAATGTTTTAACAGAGGATGAAAAGTGTGACACCGAAATTCGAAGAAGCATTGAGATAGCCAAGAAAGCATTCGAAAAGCTGAGCAGATTACTAAGAATTTAGAAAAAGTAGCGATGATCAGGATGTCGAGATAGAATGAAGATTGACCCTAGACTTGTAGAGGTCAACATTAATGCTTTCAAGGAAGCAACAACGCATAAATTTGTTTCAATAAAACGGAAGTTCTTGGATAAAAAATCCCTCGATATAAATTTCTTCTGGGAGGGTGGGGTGAAAAGTTCATAGGCTGACTAGGAAGGAATGATGCTACAGCTATAAAATTTTGCATGCATTAATATCTATTCTTCTTATTAATATCTGCATTGTTACTTTCGAAATAAGAGGGTAGGCTGAAAAGTTTATGGATAACTATGAAAGAATGATGCTACTGCTGTGAAATTTTGCATGCATTAATTTCTACTATTCTTATTAATATCTGCATTGTTTCTTTCGAAGTACAAGTGTAGGCTGAAAAATTCATAGGCTGACTATGAAGGAATAAGTTTACAGCTGTAAAATCTTGCTTGCATTAATTCCATCTATTTTTATTAATAATTGCATTGTCTATTTCCAAGTAAACTGACATCTGGCTGTTCAAAGACTTGAAAGTAACTAGTAGCAATTTCTCTTGAAAATGGGAAAAATTTGGCATTGTCATGTTATCAAGTGCTTGCGTAAAAAGGGTTCATGCTGATATGGTTGCTGCATTAGGGTATGATGATAAAATCAACAGTTCAAATGTGGGCAGCTGCATTTAAGAGGGGATGGGAGAGTCTTGAAGATGACTCAAGCCCTGGACGTACTGCAACTGCCCTCACCAAGGAATTATTGATTGTGATGGATGACAAAAGGTTGGCTATAAATCAAATAGCCAATGCTAATAGTATATCCTGTGAGGGAGTTGAGAATATTCTGCATAATGAACATGGCATGACGAAGAATTCTGCTCATTGGGTGCCACGTCCTCTGGCACATGATGTAAAGTGCACCAAGCTGATCACACCACGAGAAAATCTGACATTGTTTTAGACAGATCTAGCTGGTTCCCTTGAGCGTTTCACTCCAAGGCAGCGACAAAGTGATAATTCATGCAGTTGAAAAACCTCCTCACTTGCTCCAAATAAGGCCAAAGTAGTTTCATCTAAAAGGAAGTTAATGACCTCAATATTTTAGGATGCAAAAGGTATAGTGCTTATAGACTTCAAAAGAGCCGAATCATCAATGAAGAGTATTAGGCAGTTACGGAAGACTATAAAACTAAGGGCCCAGGAAAAAATGATGAAAGGGATTTTGTTTAATCAGGACAATTCTGAAGTACACAAGTCCTTGGTTTCAATGGCTGTTGTTCATTACCGTTGTTTTGAACTTGATAATCACCCTCCCTATTCTCCTGGATTGACTATCATCAGTTCTCCAACATGGAAAAACCACTTGGCTTGGAACAAGTACTGCAGTGTTGATGACATCATTCCTGCAGTTGATGATTTGTTTGACAACCAGGATAAACAGTCTTTTTTGAACAATTGATGTCAGTTTACGTGGAAGTTTACGGCATATAAATCTCAATGGGTTATTTACTGCCGATTTTTTATTGCTGGTAATATTTTTCATTTATCTATCTCAGTATATATTGGTTTGATTTGTTTTGTTTTCCTTCAAAAATGTATTGCTGGTACTACTTTTTTCTTCAAAAATGAATTGCTGGTAATACCTTTTCCGCAAAAAATTATAACTGATATTAAACCCTATTTTTACACTTTCATAGTGTGTTGACTTAAGTTTGGGCGTTAACAGTTTGTCCATAGTTGGGACCCATAACAGTTGCTACCACCACGGGTTAGAGTAGACATAGCAACACCAGCAATTAAGAGGTGATTCCACGTTCCTCGAAACCGCCTGAACACAGGCCTTGGTCTCGGGTGTTGTTTATCGTCATACCAAAGACGCGGATGTAGTTTATTGTCATACCCAGGACGAACAAACGTATATTTTATAGATATGTAGTTCGTTGATGATCAGTTGTAGGTGTTATATGTTTTGATATAAACCTATGTCTTTAAGGTAGGACATTATGTTGATGGTTTTACTATCTTCAGCTAGTTTTCTTGTATTAGTTTGCATGTAATAGGGCTAAGTGTCCATAGTCCTGGGTATAATAATAAACTACATCTCGCAGCAAGGTCTCTGATCGGGAGATTGGTGGTTTTGAGGAGGGTGGAACCACTTCTTAAGTGTTATTGATCCCAGGTCCACCCTAATCCTGGGTAGTAGCGCCTGTTAGTGTCCCGACGATGGGCAAATAGTGAACTCTCCAAGTAAATTTTAAAACACTGGCAAAGTATAAAATAAATATTACCAGCAGTACATTCTTATAAAAAAATATACCAGTAATACATTTTATAGTGAAAATGGCAGTAATACATTTTATAGAAGAATTACCAGCAATATATTTTAGAAAGCAAAACGACTAACAATGAAATTACCCACACGTTCATTTTTATAGAAAAATGACAATCCATTCAATACTATAAAATTATAAAAAATACATTTTATAGTAAAAATACCAGCAATAATTTTTCATAAAAAATTACCAACAATACATCCTTGTAGCGAAATTACCAGCAATACATTTACAAAAATTTGCCAACATCTATCTATCTATCTATCTCTCTCTCTCTCTCTCTCTCTCTATATATATATATATATATATATATATATATATATATATATATATATATTATAAATGGATAAATCAACAATTATTTAAGACATTTTTTATGTTTATACGTTCTTTTTATAGATACAAATATTTAAGTAAATGCTCTGTTTATAATAAACAGTATTAATAACGTCCAGGCAAATAAATTTTATTAATACTGTTTATTATAAACAGAGCTTTTACTTAAATATTTGTATCTATAAAAAGAACGTATAAACATAAAAAAAACGTCTTAAAATAATTGTCAGACTTTGTCCATTTCATAAAGTGTGACGTCTTTTGTTTACATTTGGATACGCATTGAGCAGATATGAATGAATGAGATAAAATCATGGAGAATTGTGTTTAAAAACAGTAAAATCGACTTTGCCAACGGAACACTCCTCTGTGGCCCAATCGGTTAAGGCACGTCAGGCTATATGACGGTTCCGTATAGGATAAAGTTTCGATTCCTGTCGGAGGACGCATATTTTCTATGAAAATTTCTCGGACATTCACGCTGGTAAATGTTGTTTATTATATACAGAGAATTTACTTAAATATTTGTATC